AGACATCAGTGTCTATGTAGGAGACATCACTGTTCTATGTAGGAGACATCACTGATCTATGTAGGAGACATCACTGTCTATGTAGGAGACATCAGTGTGAAGGATTTAATGTCTGTAGATGAAAAATAAAAAGGACGACACCATGAGGACAGATCTTTTATATTCAGATCTCACACACACACACACACACACACACAGCAGGTGTTGTGTGTGTGTGTGTGTGTTCAGGTTCACACCAGGTTCATGTCTCTCTGGCTCGACGCCTCGTCTATTTTCAGTAACGAAGCTATGACTCATCCGTGTTATTCCTCTTTGTGTGTTTAATGTTATATTTAGTTATTAAAGTCATCACGAACAGGTTCTGTGACGATGACACTGATTCACGTGTTTGACTGAAATAAAACCACGAGCTGATTCTGACCCGAATGTTTAACTGTGGAACAGTCGGACTCGCACTCTGCCTGTTCAGCTCTTTGCTCTGAGCTTCTAAAGGAATGCGTGCAGACCCAGATATCTGACTCCCTCCCTCCCCTCAGGTAACATGATGGAGGTGGCAGGGCCGTGGACAGAAGTGTTCGAGGGCTCTGAGAGGACGGAGAAGTCTGAGGGGGGGGCGGCGTTGCTGCAGAGCTCCACCCTGACTCTGGCTCCTCTGCTCGACGACTCCCCCTCCATCCGCCGCTCGCAGCCCATCCTCATCTCCTCCAACAGGTACGACCGACGGGAGCTCACACACACTTTACTCGCTGTGGGAGGAAGCTGATCAACACACACTGTGGACGTGGTTCAGTGTTATTGACTGAAGTCAGTGACTCAGCCTCAGGCCATAAGTCATCTGGTGTTTAAAGAAGTTTCTGTTGTGACATCAACGAACCCAGAAACTCCCGGGTTTAAGGACGCGGCCAATAAAACTGTCATTGCTGATCAGGCTGCGTGTTTGTTCTGCTCTGACTCACGGAGCTGTGGATTTCTTTCACTTCTTTGTTTCCTGGTAGGCCTGAGGTGACAGACTCTGTTTAATCCTGAGGTAATTGCTCATTGTTTACCAGACATAATGGGTTGTGACCCAATTACCTCTGGCTTGTTTTTTTTTTTACGTGTTTGTCAGTGTAATTACGAAAACATTGAAGTCGTAATCAGAATTATTTTCCTCCAAAGAACAGATGGAGGCTTCGGTCCGTACTCTTGTGTTCGGTGTTTGTTCACGTCTAATGAAAAGCTGACGACACAGAGCAGTACCACCAGAAACCACAGGGGGGCAGTGTAGCCAATAGCTAGAACGAGACGACCATAAGACCCGTGGAAGAAGATTCAACGATGGCCGAACTTTTTGGGACTTTAAAAGTTGGTGAACTTCAGATTTTAAGAGGAACAAACAACCAATGATCGGAAACTCTCAACTCTTCGCTGCCCTCTAGTGGATGTTTTTTCTTAACAAGCTGTCTGATTCCGCTCAAATGATGTTGACGTTGTCGTTCTCTTTTATTTCTCTGACTTTCTCCAGGGTGAGAGCAGCTGACTCGTTCTCCTCCTCCGTCCCGTCCATACCCAACCCCTTCCCAGAGCTGTGCAGCCCCTCGAAGTCGCCGGTGCTCATTGGTTCACTTCCCCCGGGGTCCAGCGACAAACACGTGAGTGAACATCGTGTTGCTCAGCAGCTGCTCCAGTGGGAACAGATCCGGACGTTAGATCTGGTTTATCGTGTTGATGAAACTCACACAAATACAAATAAAAAGATCAGAGCTCAGAAACCTACGGAGACGTCACGCAAACAACTGAACCAACGATCACAGTGGAAGCGTCTCTGCCTCCGGAGCCACGGAGCCCGACGTTTACAGCAACAGACCGCGAACTTTAGATTTGTCATCTTCAGCACGAAGCGATCGTCTCGAGAAATCACGTTGAAATAAACGAGAGCGTGAACCTGAGGGTCTGACGGGCGGATCCTGCGAACACACGTGTGTTAACGTGTTTGGCTGAGGCCGTAGGTGCAGGTCGTGTGACTGTGATTGACAGGTGAGCTGTGTTGCCATGCCTGCGCTGCCTTATTGTGACTCCCAAACACCGCCAGAGTAAACATGTCTGTTATTACAGCAGCGTGTCACCGTGCCACGCTCGCCCCGGGTGTTTTTATGTTCAGTGATGGAAGAGAACAAGCTGACATGCACTCAGGTTCTTCACCTCGACCCACAACAGGCTCCATTCTCTCTTTCTTTCTATTATGTAATATAATATATCATATTATTATTTTTGTTGATTTTTTTTTATCCATCATTTCCTGTCAGTCTTTCACCGCAGATAAAAAAATGCTCCAAGAAATAATTAGAAAACATGAAGATGTTCTGCTCCTGAGTTCATCTAAAGTAAAATAACAGTTTTACCAAATTAAATATTCTCTTCTCTTTTGTCACACTGCCCCATAAATGAAGACACATCTTGATCGCCCCCTGGTGGCCGCCTGTCAGCTTAATTTGACCTGCAGAGTTTTCTGTGAGCGGAGCACATCTTTTAAACGTCAGTTTCAGTTTGTCGTGTTTGTTTAGTTGTAAAAAGATCAAGATCAACATCTGATAACTCCTGCGCCTCTCGTTCAGGTGTCCAAGCAGAGCGGGGGATTTCTCCTTTAATTAACCGGCTCAGAAAATAAAAAACACAGATCTGCAGGTTGGTGCAGATTGTGAGTCTCTATGAAGATGATGTGAGACTGAAATGTTCAGCGTCTGATCTTCACGCTCTGTGAACTTTATGTTCTGTTCTGAATAAAGAGACACAACGTTCCTCTGCCTCCCCTGCTATAATTCAAAAACTCAGGAGTCAAAGTGGACAGGCTGGATATTGAACAGTGAGGAAAGAATGTCCCTCCTCCCATAATCCTCCCTGGTGGTTATGTAGCCATTATTTGTCCACGCTGACGCCAGCACTCGTCCGACCAGTCGGGGCTTGTTGACTGAGAGCTGCAGGTTTCTGGTCGGGCAGGTTTGTTTTCTTGCTGCTGGATCCAGATGCTGTGTCAGACGACAGACCTCACAGAGAAACGTCCTGACCCTCCGATAACCCGCGTCACCGCCACAGCATCGGGGAGAACGAGACGGAACGCTCTGTTTCTTTTTTCTAGACGTGCAACCTGTTTTGTCGTTTTATGAGACAAAGCGAACGAGAGCAGGAAGAAACACAGCCGCCTCACAGTCGCTGATCCAAACCCAGAAACAAGCTGCGAGATTGTTTATGCACTCATTTAAAAAGATGTGGACGGCACAGTGGTCCAGTGGTTTATGGTTCTGTGTGGAGGACTTAAATAATGGAGAAACAAATGTAACCTGTGCTTAAACTTTTGATGCTGTAAGCCTGAATCCTCACTGAGGATCTAAGTTCTTCTCCTCCGCAGCTGATAAAGGTTTATGGCGAGGACAACCACAGCAGGTCGGTGTGGGTCTCTCCCGGAGCGACAGCGCGAGAGGTGTGTCACATGTTGGTCCAGACGGCGCACTGCAGCGACCAGGAGAACTGGGCTCTCCTGGAGCTCCACCCCACCCTCGGCCTCGGTATGTCCATCCTGCCGGTAACAACTGTAGATGTGATGAAACGATTGTCACACAGTCGTCCCTCTGTGTCCTCAGAGAGGTGTCTGGAGGATCACGAGGTTGTGCTGGAGGTTCAGGCCGCCTGGTCTCTGAAGGGTGACACCAGACTCGTTTTCTGCAAAAACTACGCCAAGTACGAGTTCTTCAGGAAACCAGTGGTACGCAGAATAAATAACACGCCGAGGCGACTTCGTTAAACGTGTCGGTGCAGCAGACGTTGACAGAGCCTGACATCATGGCGGTTGCTGATCCTCTTGATTGGCAGGTTGCGTGCCCGTGCAGACACGCAGACTTAATGCCTCAGTTATTTCATTACATGGGACGGCGTCTGTCGCCTGTGCTGCTGAACAAAGGTGACAGTTCAGTCTGAAAACTGGTTCTGCTGAATCACACCGGCTGTAAAACATGGACACACTGCCTCCAGGAGGCAGCAGAGGGAACGTGTTCAGGGATGAGCTGCAGTAAACCTGCAGTGTGTTGAATGAGAGAAATGCAAACAGGATACAGACCTTCAATTATCTTCATTATCAATTAGTGCAATCTTTATTAATTAGGATTTCATTACTGTTCGTCTGTTGTTTGTCAGCAGGATTACGCAAAAACGACCGAACCTGTGTTCCTAACATTCTGCCGACGGAAGCAAACTTCAGTTTTCTAAAAACGCTTGAGTTTTTCATCAAGATGAATTATTCTCTGAGAAATCGATCGTTAACAAGGATCTTTCTTTGGAAATTTGTCTCCTGTTGGTTTTGTGCGCTCACATCTAACTGTGCATGACTGAAAAATAACTTTAAGTTCAAGTTATTATTCCGTCTTTAATTCATCTAATTGAAGGAGAGTGATTTCTGCTGGGTGTCTGTGAGAAGTCGAGCGAGTCACGAGTCTCTTCCCTGATTTTCACGTCCTCTCTCTCCTTCCTCTCGCAGCTCTTCTTCCCAGAGAGCATGATCTCCGACAGCGCAGACGTCAACAAGGGGATGACGTCATCGGAGCTCATTCAGGTACAGACGGGCGAAACCAGGAGTTCACAAAGAGTTCAACACAAACGTATTTTATACATTTCAACTTTCACTTCATTAACAAGTTGAACTCTTGGCTCCGAGCTCCGAGTCTCCTGATTCTGTTTGTGTGAAATATTTCATCATTGAAACAAATCAATTCCAAATCAAATGTCCCTCAAAATAATGTGAGAAAAAAAAACCCTGCTTTCTGTTTCCACTGTGCTTTTGTGTAACTTTGGTTCAGCGTCTCTGACTTTTTTGGTTGTTAAGTTTCAAGAGTTTCCTCGGGAGGAGACCGAGGTTACGACTGTCATCAAAAGGCCTGAAGAACAATCACCTCTTTTATATTGGGAACGTTATTTTTGTCCTTGTGCACAAAATGGTATCAGATAGAAACAATTAAAGTGGAGAGATGAGACATTTATAATAACTAAAGTTTCATTCAGTTTTATCTGATTCCGCTGACGAGAATATGATTTTTCAATAAAGAAATTTGTGTCATGAAATGTCTCGTTTTGTCTCAACGTCCTCTGAGAGGACGAGGGTCATGAGTCCCTCGACAAAATTATTACTGATTCTTTTTCTGTTGATTTAATCGTTGAATCTGTTTTTCAAGTTTTCTCGTGAAACTTCAACGAGATTTTGCAAAATGATGCTTCAGTGTCGTTTACAGGAAAAAGTTTCAACTGAGGAAATACGTTTTTATTTATGTCCCTAAAAGTGAGTTTAGTCATAAAGGGTGTTTTGTGAATGTTCTTTCAGTTTCACTCGTGTTACAGTCTTTCACTCGAGCCACGCCAGACGATTGTTCAGGTTCTGATCACGAACCGTTTGTTCTCACAGAACCTGCTGAGATATGGGACGTGTCCGGAGATCCAGGGTTTCCTTCACGTGAAAGAACCGAGTCGTAAAGCGTGGAAGAAGGTTTACTTCTTCCTGCGGCGCTCCGGACTCTACTGCTCCACCAAGGGCTCGTCCAAGGTCAGAGAACATTAGAATCTCAGTCTGTGGATTTCACAGAGTTTACACGGATGAACGGCATTTTTTGTGTCTCTGTTGGGTCCCAGGAGCCTCGACACCTGCAGTACGTGGCCGATCTGGAGGATTTGAACGTGTGCACGGTGGTGAACAGCCGCAAACTGTACGGAGCTCCAGCGGACTTCACCTTCTGCATCAAGGTATCCAACGTGTGTGTGTGTGTCCGTGCAGCATTCGTCAGACTAATTAATCGTGAATAATAAAAAGTATTGATTTCTGCAGCTTTAATACTTTAAGTGTTGAAAAAATGGCGTCCACATGCAAGATGTATTAAACGTGAAGTTTAAGAAACCGCAGTTTAAAAGACAAAGTCCAAAAACTTGAAATGATGCATGTATCTGAAAAAATACTTTTATGATTAAATTGAAGTTGAAACTACAAATCAAAGACGCATTTTATCTCACTGTGTTCTCAGCCATCCAGAAACCCGGTGCGTGCTCAGGACCTGAAGATCCTGTGTGCGGAGAACGAGCAGATACG